GAGGGGAGGGAGGAGGGAGGAGGGAGAGGGAGTGAGAGTCAGAGTCAGAGTCAGAGTGAGAGTGAGAGTGAGCGTGCGAATGAGAGTGAGAGTGAGAGTGAGAGTGAGAGTGAGAGTGAGAGTGAGAGTGAGAGTGAGTGAGTGAGAGTGAGTGAGTGAGTGAGTGAGTGAGTGAGTGAGTGAGTGAGTGAGTGAGTGAGTGAGTGAGTGAGAGTGAGTGAGTGAGTGAGTGAGTGAGTGAGTGAGTGAGTGAGTGAGTGAGTGAGTGAGTGAGGGTGAGCCAGTAAGGGAGAGCCAGTGAGTGAGGGACGAGGGAGGGAGGGAGGGAGAGGGAGGGGGGCGAGTGGGTGGGTGCGTGAGTGGGGGGTTGGCGAATCGCAAGCGGGAGGTCCTCCAATTGCGGCGCTCACGGACGCTGCCAGGCTCTCAGCAGCAAAACCCACATCCAGCTATGGCGGTTGGCAAGTGCCCTTTTTGTTTCAAACCACCGCTTTCCTCAATTATATTCTTTCGAGCTGACCCATTGTCAAGGATGCTGTTTGCTCGTCGAGCCACGGGGGATTACAACAAACATGGCTGCGGGCCTGCCACACAACAGTTTCGAAACAAGCGACACGCTGCATTGAAACTTGCCAGCAGGGCCAGTTCGGGACATCCAGGATGCCCTTGAAGTAGAAAAACTCGTGGCAATTGCAGGGTCACAACGCACAAAGGCGGCACTCTTGCTGAAAGCAACATGGTCTGTAAAAGCTTCTCGATTTTCACTCGTGGTGTCACGTTGCGAAGCTTCAATGCCCTACCCAATGCTGAATTTGCAACAACACCCCAATGCAACTACCTCAATCCTGAATTTGCAATTTCTGGAAACGTTGCCTGGGCTAAGAAGCCTGGGCATCATGCAAGTCCGGGCGCAACTATCCCCTACATGTTCTTGAATTGCTTGCTGAGCAGATTGATGGCCATGTGTGCCATCTTTGGCACAACAATGTTGCCGACGCACTTGAGGCGGGAGCGGTCACTCTCGGTGTGGCGCCCAGGTTGCAGCCACATGCGCATAGGGATTTCTGGGCAACCCTTCATCCACTTCGTGGTGGACATGGCTTTGAGATCGTCGTCCGACAGGATGTTGAGGCCCTACGTTGAACAAAGTGGATTCCCAACTCGACCAAAGGGTAACTTGCAATTGATTGACACTTGTTGGGTTGAGTGAAAGAGCATCCCAAGAAGACTGCCGAGTTGAAGGCAGGTTGCAACAATCAGTCTGGCCTTGGCGATGTCGAACCCATCCCGGCACATCAGAATGAAGACCCTTTCCCGCCAGATCTCAGGAGGTTGCAACGTGTCACAATCACTTTGTTTTGAGACTGAGGCGTTCGCGTTGGCGCCGACCATGCCGCCGCTGATTGTCACATAGGCAAGCTTCAGGTTCCGGGAAGCAGCCATCTGGCAGGTCAGGTGGATGAAGAGATACAATATGTGTTTTTTGTTTTGAGGGCTGCGCCGAGCAAATGTGGTCCATGATGTAGCGAAGCTTGGGGCTCAAAATGGCGGACACGTTCTCAAGAAGGATAAAGGACCTTAGAAACAACAATCGGTCCAACATCTTTGGGGGGCACGATGCATGGGTGCTGTTATCTGTTGAAAGCGCACGCAGGCAAAGCGTCAATGTGGTGGGCGAGGAATCGTAGATTCTCCAAACTTCCCCCAAAAGCCGCGTTCTTGAATCTGCCAAGCCAGCGCCTGTGCCGGCTCTTGATATCCCCTGTCAGGAGCAGCAAGCTAGGGTTAGAATGCTCAATGACTGAAATGGCCTGGCAAGGGAATCCTCCAACAATGCCATCCACAGGGCCCAAGCCCGCGTCTGCCCAGTTGAAGCTGCAGACATCGGGAAACACCTTCCCTGGGTCGGCCAGGCCCTCAGATACCCGTTGCTGGATGACAGAAGTGCAGAACGGGTCCGCCTCCACCTCAACACAAACATGAGTTTTGGGCTATGACAGCTCAGCAAGCCCTGAGTTCCCTGCATAGCCGGCCGCCTGGAAATACCTGGTCAGTCACACATGGCTTGGTTACATTGAATTGTTCTTCAAAGGCTCGGGCTCGCGAAGCCCAAGCTCCAAACCAAGAACTCCCGAGAACAAGGATAGCACCCTGCGACGGGGAAGAGCCTGCAGCGGGAAACGACTTCCAAAAAGCAAAAAGTTTCTAACACACATGGCCTCCAAATTTTTGTTCAGCCAAGGGTAAATCTTCGCGAGCGGGGTCCGGACAGCTCCAGGCGTGCAGTCTGTCCAGCCTAACGGAAGGCCTGCGGGACAAGAGAACTGGGCAGTGAGGGTTCCTTTAAGGTTGTTTTTCGCCTGCCATGTACTCGCTGATCTTGGCTGAAACGAAGAGACCAGGCTTCATATTGTGCGCACGACAGTCCTTCTTGAAAGGGGTGCTGTGAAAGATTTGGGTCCCGAAATCCTGCAGGCAAGCATGAAAAGGCCAGATAAACCGCACGCTGAATGCTGAATGCGCGGAGGCTGTCCCGGGATCCACGCAGTGAGAGATAGGCTGGGTTGGCTTTCACCGTCGCCCCGAACACTCCTAAGCCCAATTCACAATCGCCAACGCAGGGTGAAGTAACACCTGAGGACGGCACGCACAGTGCCCCATCCTTTCAAAGTCAACTTGGTCTTCAAGATGGCGCCCTTTTTCGGCAAACGAGCATTCTTCGCGGGCTTCTTGGGCTCCTGCAGGTAGGAGGGAAAGCGATGAAGGGCAAACTCATGTTTTGTGGCCAAATCAAACTGTAAAAAAGCAATGAGGGGTCAGCCCAAGCGATGAGTCAGGGCGGAGGTGTCAACCAAACCACAACCAAACCATAGCTCAACTCAGGTTCCAACACAGTCCCAAAATTTGAGTTTTCTGGCTCCTTGACTTGTTGAAGCATTATTTGAAGTGGATGGTTGAGCCACGCTTTGAATTGGGCTCTCGCCATGATTGTGTTGAACCGTGCTTGTCGTTGAACCATGACTATGATGTGAGTCGATCCTGCACTTTGCAAAACGTGATTTGGTTGGATCGCGGTTGCTGGTGGGAGGTCGGCTTATGGTTTGAGCTGGTCGCTAACCGTTTTGAGATCGATCGCTGAAGCAATGGCTTCAAGACTGTGTGTTGAACCTTGCTGCGGGTTGAGTCGTGATTTGAGTCGATGCTTGTTTTTCCTCAAAAGGAGAAGATGCAATCAGAGACGCGCTTGGAAACACGATGTGAGGGATCAACTTAATAGGTAGTAGTTTACGGGATCAACTCAAGTAGAAAGTAACCCGCGTTGAGCACAGTGAGGATTTACCCCGAATCAAGGGCATGTTCAGGGATCAACCGCAATCATATGACTTCAACAGAATGACGGAACCACTCAAGACTCAACAGATCCAAACCCAAGTCCAACACGATGTTCAAAGGCTGACGGGGGTGCTGCGGCAGGAAGCCCGGCTTGTAGGCAGCCAGTTTGTTCGATGAGCCCATGGCCCCAAATTTGGGCAGCCGCTCCTACAGGATCAAAGGCACCCTTTCTCGAGCACACGCGCGCGCCTGCCTTCTTCAGGTCAGGCTTGGCGGGATCAGGAGCTTCGGACCTGAGCAGGCCGGAACGGAGAGGGTTGTTCCACATTGTTTTGAGGGTTTGGCGGCTCTTCGTCGCTCAAGCGATCGACGTTTTGCACTGACATGTCAGGCGGCTTCTGACAAGCTTTGTGCACAGCAGTTTCTGAGCCATGCGAGGTCAATCCCAATTCAATTCAAACCAAGTGCTGGTGTGCACATGTTTGCTTCTGACATGCATGTGGCGCTGCAGCGCCTGGTTCTAGCACGAAAAAGCACTGTTTTTCCCCCGAAGCAGCGCCCAAAAGGTGTGCGATTGACGGTTAAATCTCAGGCCCAAATCTTAAACACATCCGCCAGATATTCTGGGTACAAAGGAGCCCCACGAAGGGCATCTTCTATGTCTTCCACAATGTGTTCCATTGACTCACAAAGTGCCCTGCAGGCGGTCACCGGGCTCTGCTGTGAGCGGCTGTCGGCTGCAAAGGTCAACACCTGGATTGGAGCATTGGAGCATCAACCCACGTGTGAAACACTTAAGGGCCGAGCCGTAGTCAAAGCTATTGATGCAAAAGAGTGGATCATCGCTCTGGTCGCCTTGGTTTTTTCTGCAATCAGAAGAATTTGAAAAGGGGTTGAGCTCAAGGCCAAGTCGGGAACGTCTGGCGCTGGGTGAGTCTCGGACATGTGCGAGGTCTGGCGGTGCACCATGCTGGCCAAAGGATGAAAGCCCCCCCCGGCCTCTGCAGGAAGCGATGCCTTGCGCACTGATGTTTACAGGCAAATCCTTGAACAGTGAGGGCCAGACTTCGACACGAGCAGCTGGTCCGGCTTGGGCGTGGGCCACAATGGCCGATGTCCTGCGCGAAGGCGGCTTTAGAGCGGATCTTTTTGTTGCCGCCCTGTCCCGGGAGAAAAAGTCAGGGCATCCAAGCGCCGCAGTGAGCGCGGTGGCGAGCGCGAGCGATCGGCCTCGCGGCTCATCTCCAAAAATCGACCTGCCAACTTGGATCAAACACGAATCCTTTTTGAGTTTGGGAAAGATGCAAGCCTGCCTGTCACAAGCTGGGCTGCTTCTGGTTTCTGATCAAGGGCCAAATGGCCACCGGCCAGGCAAAGTTGACAGCGTGTGGAACCAAACATCAAAACAGCCCCCCTGTATTTTCCAGCTTGCTGTGCCGAATTCCATTAACATCAAACTTATATATTTCCACCCCTGCGTTGAACGTTAGGTAGCGTTTGCTTTGTTACTAAGAAATTAACTGGCCGGCTAAGAAATTAGCTTTTGATGCTGGTGTGGCTAGTCAGCGTTCGAGGGTAGGCTTTCTGAGCCGGGCTTCGCTCTCAGACAGTGGCTTGCTTACAAAGGCGAATGGGTTTTTCATTCAAACACTGGCTTGCTTGCACAGGCCAAGTGGCTGGCTCTGCAATGGCGACTGACTTGCGCGTTTGTGTTCCACTTCACCTGCTTTATGAAGCACAGAAAGCCAAAGCCCCAGATACACAACAAAACCCCAAACAACAAGAACACAAAATAATAGTGTAGCTACATCCTACGGGCCTAATGGAGATCTTCACTTACAAGAACGCTAAGGATTTCCAGAAGAAGTTCCGCGTCAAGAACATCACTACGAGGACCGACTACTTGCAGCAGGTGAAGCGGGCAGTGCTGGAGGACACTTCTCCACATGAACCTCATCCCTCATATTGAATGGCATTCTCTTCGCTATGGCGGTAGACTTGCTTCCAAAGCAGCACGTATGTGAGTCTTGTGGAAATGAATCCAGACTTCGCAGTCGTGTGACTTCTGAGAGGGCGTCGTGGGATTGGGTTCCTAGAGGACGACATTGTGATGATTGTACATCGAGGTCGCTTACTTCTGCTACAGTCCTCCAAGGCGTGAAGGCCAAGAACTTTTTGCGCTTCTTTGACTGCATGTGCATGTGGAGCTTCGACTATCCATCATGGATCTCATCTTGGGAAACAGGCATCTATCATCAGCAACTCAACCTTTGGGAAGATGTCTTCCAAAGAGCTCTAGAGGCAGACCTAGCGCACCAAGGTGATTCAGTTACTCTTACGTCTGTTCCGCCCCAGTCAGCCAACAAGGTCCGCAAGGTGGTCACGAAGCCCAAGAGCGCATTGCAGAAGAAGCCTTCCATGAAAAGACCTGCTTCATGCACCAGCACCATGAAGAAGCCTTCCTCTTTATTCAAGCGGCCCGCCTCCGGCCAGAAGTTCTCGCCCAAGAAGCAAAAGAAGACGCCCCAGGCCATGTCCTTGTACAGCAAGTACAAGTACGTCGTTGAAGTCGATGAATCTCATATCAATCAACATCGCAATGGCTCTTTAGCAAAGAGCGCCCGTGTCTAAACAGATCAAGTATGGATATGGGGAGCCACAATGCCCGGGATTGCTGACCGCTTCGTCTTCCGGGTACTGGAACATCGAAATCCTCCAGTGTCTGCGTAAGCTCCAGTTATGCCCTAAGACGATCCTTGTCACAGACGGCTGGAAGGCTACACTGAGCGCGGTGAATGCCCTCAAGGAGGAGAATGGTTGGTCTGACGCAGAGCTCTGGCACGAAGTTGTGAACCGCGCCGCCGGTGAAATCACCAATGTGAACGGCTTCACGACCAACCACATTGAAAACCGCTGGAGTCTCCTCAAGCATTGGGCGCGGAAAAAATCAGGTGGCCGACTCCCGTCTCACAGCGACCGATCGAAGTGGCGCCAACTCCTGGCTGAGTTTCGATGGCGGAAGTTCCATGCAGACTCCACCAATCGCAATGTGTACATAGTGCCTGTACACAAAACAGTCGCTGCCATGCGACGTCTGTTCCCGTCATAGCTCCCAGCTCCTGATTCACAAAGGCACACACCGAAAAGAGGCGTCTCGTCTTCAAGTTGGCTCCTTTGCAAACCATGTCCTGTCTCATTATGAGCCTCGAGAAGGTCTTCAAGTAAATAGGGCGCACTCTCTACACATACGAAAACATGCAAAATGCGCGGGTCCGAAACCATCGCGGAACCAAACATATATATATATATATGGTACCCCCCCCCATGGACCCTGGTTTCGTGCGTTTGACCTGTATTTTCCAGTGTTGTATGCTTCTTTTTGCTTCTTGGGTTTGTGTCAAAATTGGGGGGGGGTCATACATGTATATGATACGCATGCATGCATGCAGATGTGATACAAGCAATGACATCAGCATCTGCAATCTGCAGAAGTGTTTGAATGCATCCAAGAATACAAGAACAACTCAGACATTTTTTTAACTCAGGGATTGAAGATTCAAGAATGTGAGAAAATATTTTCTGGGAATCTTGAATCTTGAATCTTGAATCCCATAACTTTTAAAAAGTTTTAAAAATCCCAGGGTTGTCCCAATACTCTCGGTGTTCAATAAGATTCTCGCAAAAGTTTTCCGTGAAATATTTCAATCCAGTGGTAAAATATGTTCGAGGTAATAGAACAACTTGAACACTTTTAGGGGTTGACTAGGATGGACGATTCTCAGGAAAGTGGTGGTTTGTGGGCTCCTCACTATTGAATCCCCAATCTAGTGGTAAAGCACTTTCAAGTGTTAGAAGCACTTGAATGTTATTTGGTTTCGCCAGGATTGACAATTGTCAGGACAGTTTTCTGTGTAATCTTCAATCTTGAATCTTCCATTCGATAGTAGCATATTTTCAACTGCTTAGCGATCCAGTGGACACACTTTCAAGTTGTTGGTTAGACAAACTTTCAGGTGCTTTTGGTGAGCTTCATGTCAGTTATGCTCATGTTGACCCCTTTCCAGGAGGTAAACAAAGGCAGGTGTAACGCTCAAAAATACTGTATTGTCCAGTATGTTATGAGGAGGCGCAGGATCATTGGGGGTACTATATATGTGTGTATGTAGTGTATATATAGATCTACATATCTATGTACGTTCACACACCGTCCCCCACCCTCTTGAACTACCTGTCCACATTTGCTCATCTACTACCTCCACCTTTTGAGATAGAATTAACTTTCCTGCGCAAATAGAACTTTAAATACAACGGTTTAGCTAGAATCCCTGTTTCGAGATATTTTAGATTTTGAACCTCTCTTCCCTTGAAATGTCCCTTTGGAACACCGTCTAACAAGTTCAAGGTCGCACCTTTCTTATGCTACAAAAGGGCAAGAATGTAAATAACACAAATCGTATTTTGAATTTCCTTGTAGAAGTCCCTTAAATGTTTAGCCATATTTAACATGAATTATATTTGAGATGTAATCTCTATTTACTTGATATTATCAAAAGCAAATTGAGTTGTGTTCGTCTTAGATTACATTTCACACTTGGATTATATTTGGGAAAAACAACTTCCATCTAACTTCTTGTGTTGTAGATTAGTTGGAGCTTAGCCAAAAAACATATATATATATATTCATGTAGCTGCTATTTGGAAAGGATTTGCTTGTTTAAGCTGTAATTGAACATAAACACATTTTTGAAAACTATATCCTTACTAAACTATATTCAAAATTCCAATTCTAGTTGAAGTAACATCTTTTTGGGGAAGGGCATCATACTGGAACATCGTGGAGGACTCCGGGCTCCAAATTATCACGCTTTGGGGACCCACAATTGGACATTTCGAGAATATAAATTTTGAAATTCTAGATTTGCCATCCCCAAAAGGCAGTAAAACCAGGGTCCATGGGGGGGGGGGTGCATATATATATATATATGTACATATATATATATACGTCCATGTCCATGATATGTTCCTTATCAACTCTGCAGCAGATTCCAATGTGATAAGTGCACTGTGGCACCACTGGCCCGCTTGACAACCTTCATCATTGCTACCGGATACTTGCACCAATACCAGACACACACTGAATCCCAGCGCATGCTGTTTGCGACCAGCGCGATGCCGTTTGGCCCTCATCATGCAAAAACTTGCTCCTTACTATTACAGTCAATTCTAAGCAGTGTCCCAGCAAGTTTTATCAACAGACCGTTTACCCTGATCCTTTCAGGGGCCCGCGTTGCCGGCTGACTGAGGTTTCACATTTGCACGTCTCTCCGTGTGCCGAACTACCCTATTGGGCCTTTGCTCTCGCTTTGGCAGCGATTTTTGGCGCTTCCGGCGATTTGTGGCGCTTCCGGGCCTGCCATTGCTTTGGCCAGCCTTGTCCAGTTCGGAACATGGAAACACCAGTCCTGGCCGAAGATGGCGTTCCTCTCAGATAGGGCACGCACCTGTTTCCGTGCATCTTGATTACCACAGAATGTGTTGGAAAGCTAGAGTTGGAACAATTGAGCCATGCATTGAACGGCTTCATGGCCTGGATTGCGAGTCTGCCAGGTGCTGCTGCTGGCAAGGCTGCTGCCAGATGCCAAGCACTTCTCAGTGGTGCGTCATGCAAGCAAATGACCATTGATGGCGAAGAGCTTCGCATGTTGTAGGAACATGTGCGAGGGATTGCAGGTGCATGTGCTCAAGGGCGCGGTTTGAACTTGTTGGACCTGGCAGCCTGCCCACAAAAACCGGTGTGCATCGTTCGGTGATGTTGCTTCTTGCAAACAGGGGCGCATGCTGTCTGCAGTTGCACAGCTCGTGGCAAATTGCGCGGATTCCGGCTGTTCTCAGGAGAGTCTCAAGACACATTCCAGGTCATGTTTGACAAAGGTCGGGCCTTCTAACTGAAGAGATCTTTCGACGGCGGGTCGATGTGCTGAACAAGGCGGCCAGCTCATGTCAGCTCCGAGTCGCTTTTTGTGACTGCCGATGGTGTGATCCACGCGTTCAGAATCGCCGAATAGGATGACAAATGCTGCCCAGATGAAGACTCGCTGCGTAGCTCTGTACAGCCACAAATTCTACGTTCATGTCACGACACCGAAGCTAGATGCACCAGGCAGGACTGGTTTAGAAAGACTGCAGCATTAAATGACCAATCGAACATGATAAGATGAATAGTGGCTTTCGGTCGGCAAGCATGCTTCCCTCTAAATCACACGCACACACACACACACACAAACAAACACACGCAACTTGCCTGCACATCCACGAATTCCACTGGGCATGTTGAGCTCCAGATGTCACATTTGGCCATGGGTCATAACCTATGGCATGGCTCCATTTTGGGGCGGATGAACACCCACGTACCACCTAGTTTGATGTTCACCAGGGCTACAGGGTTTCGACCCACAGCCATTTGAGTTGACCAAAGGTCTCTGCCGTACACCGAAATGTTCAGGCGGAGGCCCTGGAGTTGCAGCTGCTGCCCATAGACGGCTCTCAGAACCGCACACGGCGCCTCCGGTTCCGGTTCGATTTCTCCGCGGGGGCGCGAGGTCTGTCATGGGTTTCTCAGGTGCAACAGGGTCATGCAATTTGACATTCGCGCAAAGCGCCTTGGCATTTGGAGAGTTTGTAGCCCATGCGAATCAGAAGTCCAGTCTGATTGGCGGTGGAGGTCTGAGGATGGAGGGCCTCTGGATTAGAGATCCAAGCTGAGATGAGTCAAACACCTCCATGAAACAAGGTTTCCCCTGTAGTCATTTGGCGGAGAGGTGCAATTTTTTTGGTGGCTTACAAGCTGGCCTAAGGGCGTTTTGAAGCGTCGAATGCACGGTGCGTAATGCTTGGTAGTCCAGTCTGTTGCCGAGAGGACGCTCAGGAAGGATACCCTGAAGCAAGGGTTGATCCAACCAATGTCTAGAATTCTTTAACGTGTTTGACACCGTGACACCCAGTTTTGACTGCATGTCCTTGTGCAAAGCGTGCACCATGTATGCCGCAGGTATCTCAGCGACATTTGCATAGGCCCGAAGCTGGCACTAGAGGCGATGCGCAACATTGAGCGGCTTGGGTGCCAAGAGTGCCGCTCGCACTCGGTATTCGGGGCATAAAGTGAAGCCGAACCGTGCAACCAGTTTGCGGGGGGCCAGGTTGGAGTGAAATTCATCAATCAAAACGTGGGTGGTCCAAAATTACAGACAGTCCCAGCCTGAAATAGGCGAGGCAAGGTTGTTTGCTTGGCTTGGGTAGCATCCTCTAGTACTAGCTGCCGATTGTCACTCATTTAACTGATCAGCTTACTTGCATCGCAAGGAGGCACCAGTACACTGCTCCAACAGGATTTGATGACATTTGGATATACAACCCTTTTCACGCACGAGGAGTCCATTCTTGCAGTCCTGTTCCCCGACAGCAGTTAACAGTGTTGTCACAATTGCACAATTGCAATGGGGGTGCCCCCTTTGTGGGATCCAGACGACTGGGAAAATCTGTTTTGATGCCTTGAACAGAGGGGCATCGCTGCGCATGATGCGTTTGGCTCCAGCTTGCATACACCAAATCTTTCAAGATGGAGGACTGGGTTTCGTGACAACTTCGCGTTAGAGTCTTGTGGAGACACCGGCCAAAGACTCGAAGGTCCTTTGAGCGGCAAGGGTGCTTGCATATCCGTAGCGCCAAAAGACTCATTGACCAGCATAGCCAGTGAGCAGCCGGGCCTAAGAAGCCGTTTGCCAAGGTTCTTTTTGTGTCTCTCTCCCGACGGCGTCGGCTTTCTCCCGAGGAGTTTGTCCAGATTCTGGCCGAACAGCAGCGACACCTCACCGAGCTACACGGCAGCACAAGCGGTGAAAATGGTAAAGCGGGCCTGGTGCAATTGTCTCGGAAGCAGTGGAGACGTGATTGGCCGCGACTTTCTGCAAACTTCTGTAGAGAAGAACGTGCTTACCTCTTACATGCACTTTTTGCGCCCGGTGTTGCTGCTTTGTTTTTTTGGTGCGTGCGCGGGAGGAGATAGTCAGTGATTGCGGGCGGTGGTTGGTGTCTTCCCTGAGGACCGCTGAC